TTAAATCTAGATATTGTCGGACCTGTTACTAGGGCAATATCTATAGATACAGAGAGATAAGCAGCAGTTTTTTAAAAATTCCTTAATTATAGTTATGAGATAATGATTTCTTTCAGCGATTTCTTTGTTTAGAATAAGGGACTGATTTCTTAAACTAACTGGTTRACTTACTTTACAGYTGATTCCGAAACACTGATCATCCTGTTGGGAGTTGGCGTGTTTCTCCTTGTCCTTGTGATTATTCTTCTCATCTTTCTGATCGTCAAACTACGCAAAAGTAAAGCAAGCTTAGTACAGTAGATATTATATCTATTTTGGGAAACCAGGACCGGTTGTACGAAGGGTGAATAGCGCTATCCGGCGGATAAATCCTTATCCAGTGGATAAGTCGATGCTGTTATCCAATAAATTTATCCACTGAATAAGATTTATCCGTYGGATAGMRCTATCCAGGCTTCGTAYAACAGGGYCCAGGATATTGTGCCCTTYTAAGGTGCCGCCTGAAAWGMAAYGTTAAGTTTGAAAGTGTTAAYAAAAAAAAGGTGCCGCCTTTTATCGTTCTCTCGTCTCGGGAGATCCATCCTCGAACCCGTTATCACTGGAAGCCAGGGGCAGATCCAGGGATTTTAGGCTAGGGGTTGACTATTACAATGGTTATAGCAGGAATTCGAGAAAAAGGAAGGGTGATTGTTACTAATGATATACTGAGAAATTTGAGCAAAAGGGGGGGTGACTAGTTACACCTTTTATTACGCCCCTCCCCCATTAGATCCGCCACGGGAAGCAAGGTTACTCGCCTCTCGTCAAAGTTGTTTGTTAGTTTAAATGTCTCATGTGCTTCGAGGGATTTAAAAAAAATAAAGTTAAGAGAAAAGTAGTCTCACCCCCTCCCCTTCATTTTTTCGTGATTTTTTAATTTCTTATTCTTTCGTTTTTACAGTCCATTAAGGTTGATCGTCATCGTTGACAGAACGAATCAAGGCACCCTGCACATTAACAATGGGATACCTGTGTCAATTCAAAAATCGTCGACCAGCTTAATCCTACTGGACCGAAATGTACTCTGGGTAGAAATAATTGAAGCTGAGTTGACTGCATATATCACACTAGTTTTCAGCTAGTTATATCTTCTGACTGCATATATGTTATTTACCGGCCAGGAGGTCCGGATAGGGAAAACCTGTGCCCGAGGTCTTGAATATACGTTTTCAAGACCGAGGGCACAGTTTTTCTCTATCCGGACCGACAATGGGACGACGGTAAATAACTTATTCATTTTTTCCCCGTATTATTTTAACTTGTTTTTGTAATCGTTTTGTATTGTCGTTTAGCGGCACGGATACCGGACCGCGCGCGCGGGCAGATACTGACGAAATACCGCCCGCTCAAACAGCCAATCAAAACGCACGATTTTTTAGGATACCGGACCGGAAAAAAATAAATAATTTTATGTGATTAGTTATGCCTCGTGTGTACAGAACGGTCCCTTCACTGGCAAGCGGGCAGTGTTAAGGTGGACGTTTTTTGATACATTATTTTCGAGGTTGCGAATTGGATCATAACTATTTAGTTTTTCTTTCCGTACACCCAAAGAAGTGGAACAATTAGTTCATAATTTAACCGCCTTCGTGCTTTTCCCTTTCGGTCCAGTCGCGTAGGCTTTAGCCGGTCGAGGACGTTTTTTTTGAATTGACTGTATGTAAGTATCAAAGCAATAACAGCACACAGCACGATGCACCTGTCGCTTTAAAATACCATACGCTTGCACGGCAATCATAACATTGCAATGAGTTTGCAATCATTTCCGTGCCCATAATATGACAAAAGAGATGGCGGCCATGTTGGATAATATTTCAAAATGAGCATCTTATAAGACAGGAATGATGGAAAACTTAACCCATGATAAGAAATTCCTTTTCCAAATGAAAGGATTCTAAAGCTATTTGCTCTTCAACTTTGCTCGTTTGTTCGTGTCTTTTTTTAACCTCTCAGATAATATTTAGATATTTTTAGTCTCAAAAGCCATTTATACAATTAAAGGCAGAACAGAGGCGACACAGGCACCTTGCACTGCACATATTATTTTGGGTCACCGTTGTGTCGGCCAAGCCTCGGGTTAGGCTTCATAAATTTGCAACGTCCCCTGAGATTGTTTAGGTTTAGGGGCGGGGTTGGGGAAAGGTCATCGTTTTCAATTGTTCTAGATCTACACATGTGCGCCCTCCAATAGGATCACATCTTGCAAATTCGTGAAGGACGACCCTAAGCCTGGGCTAACTAAGTAACATGATCCGTTGAACCTTGGCCCGTCAACTACCATTACCTATTTCGAGGTCGAGAAAAAAAAATTGGGTCGAGCTGACAATGTTTTGTGGGACATATTCCCAAGATCATAATGGCGTCTGTTTCGGCCCCTAAAACA